TTGGCAACCCCATAGTTGCAAATCCATCCACAACATCCTCTATATTAGAGTAAGAGCCCTGCATAGCAGGATACAATTAATGCCCCACACACACTTGCATGACAACAACCCCCACTATGGATTTTCCAACTCTAAAATGATTTCCCACTGATTGATAGCAATCCAGCTTCGCAAGCTTCCACAGTGCGATCGCCACTTGCTTCTCAACTGTCAAGGCAGCTTTCATTCTCTTGTCCATGCTCGAACGTGGCATACAGATCCAGGAATGTGGCCTTTCTCACCTGAAAGTACTGCAGCCACTTATCATCCCAAACCTCCATCATAATGCAATCCCACCAGTCAGTTGCTCATTTCTTAGGCCCTGTAGCTGATCTGTAAATGCCACCAACTTTGAATTGTTTTTCATTATGTCCCTTAGCAATCTGTCCTCAAAGAAATGATCATGTGCCCCTTTGTTGTGGTACTTCCTGCAGCCCTACAAGTGCCGGAGGATTGTTTGTCCTGCATTTGCAGCATCAATGACAACAGTGCAGACCTGCGTGGGCTCCATTCTTCTGATAGAGATGACGGATAGCGACAAGTGCTGTGTGAGTTTGTGGGATTTTAAAAAGGCACAAAAAGTATGGGTTAGTCATAACCATCTCATGGTATTATGAGATAGTGAAAGTTGCATGATGGGAACTTGACCTTTTGCGCTCAGCCCCCCGGCAGGAGTCGTGTGCGCCCCACAACACATTGTGAAAATTCCCCAAAAGGCATTGCACTGGAAGGTGGCACACTGGGATATACCCCTGGTGCACCGCACTTAGCATCGATGCAAGCAGCTAAGTATGCACATGCATGTGTGATATACTAACTGCAGCAGCTTTACAATGACATAAACTTTGGTCGACCAAAGTTTGTAATCTATACATGGCCTTAGCCAGCATTACATATTTTACACTTGTTAAATAAAACCGTTTATCAGTAACTCAAGAATAAAGAAGCTTCCTAAGCAGAACTGTGGACAGAGGAAAAACCCCGTAAGTAAAATGGCCTGCCCCCAATTGCCTTCTCCATGCTGACCTATTCTGCACCAGATTAGGATGTCCTACCACCAGGGGCGGCCTGCCTGTCACTGTGAGGGCAGCAGTCAGGGAGCCTTCGGCGGCGTGCCTGCGGGAGGTCTGCCGGTCCCGCGGCTTTGGCGGCAATTCGGTGGCGGGTATGCCGAAGCCGCGGGACCGGCAGACCTCCCACAGGCGCGCCGCCGAAAGCCGCCTGACTGACGTGCTTGGGGCGGCAAAATACATAGAGCTGCCCCTGCCTACCACTGGGTTTAAGTGACAGAAAGAGCCTTTAATGACTTCTCCACATTAAAGAGTATTTCACACCTCGTAAGAAGGCTCTGTTGTTACCTAGCAGCTCTGTGTCCTTGGGGAACCAGGGCACATTATCCAGCCTGTTTGACTCACGAAAGACCTTCCCCTCCCCCCTCCGCCAGCCTCTGCTTGAACCAAATCTGCATCAGAAGAAAGACTTACAAAAAGCAATGAAAAGGCAGTGGGAGACACACCTAAACCCCTGGGATAAGGATGACAGAATTAAGGAAACTCCCCTTGTCTCATTTGATTCGAAGATGGGGCAAGGAGGCATCTCTATTAGCATACAGAATGGAGAACAGAGATTCCAAGGCAAGAACCGCATGGAACTCTGGGACCAGAAAAGCAGGGAAGCACTGCATGATGGGGGTTCTCTGCTCCAGATGTTAATGAACCCACGTCTGCACACACCCAGCTCAGTATTTATCAGACCAATTCTAGTAATAAATCCTTTATTGGTATCCAAAATAGTGAAGCTCCCTAATTGCATTGTGAGCTCCCACCAAGGGACACTGCCCAAAGCCAGGAATGATCAGCTGCCATTGTCTAGCCTGAACAAAACAACTTTGGTATTCTCCCTTGTTTACACATAAACAAATCTAGTGTTCTCCCTTGAACCATTGTTGTTTCTCTACAAAAACCCCTATCCATGCTCAAGTAAGTGTTCTGATGCCTGGATCCAAAATCTGCATCAGTTCATCTTCTCCTGACTGATCATGCTGGGGGCTCTACCTGACTCCAGCACTCCGGACCCTCAGCTACCACTATCACCTGGGACCCCCAATCAATTCAAACTTCATGGAGTGGTGAGAACCCAGCTCTCTCTCTCTAAGTATAGCCTTCTGACCCTGACTTCTGTGATCAGTTATAGTTTTCTAAACCTGACTTTTATACTCAAGTTTAAGCTAGATTTATTTTATAACTGTTTTGTTTGTTTGTCTCCCCTATGGTTATTACCTGGCAATAAATAACTTTCATGAGTAAGCTGGTTGCTTCTCTTTCTCTCTCCCCTCACCCCCTCGTGGGTGTTTTTTTGGTTTCCTCATTCACTCTGCAGCAACACTCCTCGTATCTAAGCTAAAAGATTCCCGCAGCACCCAAAAATGATGTGGGGTTTGCTCATCAAGTGGGTTACTGCCAGAACAATTGTAACGTAAGAGCGGGGATAGAGACGTGCTGAACCTGGGACATATGAGGATGACAGCTTGGAGGCGCTGCTCAACCCAGCCTACTGAGTCCAGGGACATATAAGGGGTCAGCTTGGGAGTGCTGATTAACCCGGTCCTCTCAGATGCACTCTGTGTGTGTCTGTGTTCATCTGCTTCTGGGGCTGGAAGAACCCAGTCCTGGGGAACCTAGGTCCTGCAGGATAGCTCCATTGGGAGGGAACTTGTAGCATGGAGAAGTAGAGCTCAGTATAAGAACACAAGTGACACAAGCAGTACATTGATAGAAATACACAACCTCCCCCTTCCCCCCAGAAGAGTAACCCTAATAAATGAGCATACCCCAAAGTAACGGGCAAAGCTAGTAACACTGTTGTTTTATTCTAATTTTCTGATAACTTAAATGGCCAGAGTTGGGTTTTTTTCAATATTTCCCTTCCCACTTCAAAAACAAAAGAAAAAAGGGAGAGGAGGAGGATGAAACACCTGCGGGCTGAAACTATGAATGAGAAATTTACATTCAAAAGTTCGTATTTTAGGAAATTCTAACCCAATTGTGATAGGGCTTAGAATGGAAATGCTTCCTCAACATCAACTACAACATCTCATCAGAACTGCAGTAACAAAAAAACACCTCTGCATACTTTACAAAGTACCTTCACACTTCATTACACTCAAGATAAAAATCTAGTTCTCTGGAAAATTCAATATGCTGGTAAAAAAGAATTTTAGTAATTTTAAAAGCGGAGTCTCGCCTTTTGTTAACATTTGCTTAAAATGGAATTAAATTCAACTCCTATTGGACTTGAGATGGGGGATGGTGGAAAGGGAAAGGGCTGTATCATTTCTTTGACATGCCTCCTAAATGGGCTATTTGAATTTGTAAACTCTTCATTTCTCTGCCAGATTGGAAGCAACATGCGAAAAAGAAGTGGGGTGTAAGGAAGTTTCTTTGATTGAGTAAGATCAGCAGCTAAGATCTGCTTTCAGATCTGCAGCCTCGAAGCACAAAAGAACAGGCAATATGATATTACAGCTGCCCCATGAATTCAAAAAGCTGCTTTCATATTCATGCAAACTTTTAAAAAAATCCTATATAATTATACTCAGTTGTCTGTGTGCCTGCATGTTTCACTTTACATGAGGTGAACTACTTCTCCATTCCTGAGCTGACTTGTGAGTGTATGTCATTCCCATAATATTTTCCTATGGCTATGCCTGCCATCCCAAAATTTCTAATCGGTTTCTTGGTTTTTAACCAATGACCCAAAATGACCCATTTTTTAAAAAACATGAAGGTCATTCAGATCAAGATACTAATCCTGTTTTTTTAAAAAGAGACATTTTACAGTTTAGCATATATTTTTGTCTTCTTTTCTTAGTTGTGAAAAGACTTTCCCTCTTACTAATGACATTGCACACAATTCCCCGTGCAATTCTCTATAGAAGGAACCTCTATGACAACAAGGAGACAGAACTAGGTACTATGAAGATTAGCACTTTATGAATACAACAGCCAGATTACATAGAATTTCCTGAAAGGAAAGATTTTCTGTGAGGCCACTAACTGAAAATATGTTTTTTAAATAAAAAAATGTGAGACTTGCGAAGTATTTTAACGAATATTAAGCTTCAAACTTTTCTGTATGAGGATGTGTTGGTTTAACTCTAATGGTCAGTCCTTCTCAACGGCGATTCAGATGTTAGCAGCAGCTAACTGCAGATTTGGCTTCAAGTGTAAGGGCAGGTGGGACAGAATGAGGGTGAAAAGAGACAAGGAGGTGCTCATGGGGGAAGAAAGGAAGAGTGAGAGGTGAAAGATACAGTTTTCATGAAAGCAGAGGGATCAGAGAAGAGCAGTAGCAACCAGGCCCATCCTTGGATGATCTATAAGGTAGTATAATGTGTTTTCAAAACCTCATATAATGGTCCTGTACTTTTACTGTTTTACTGCCAATTACAAAGATATAATTGTGTGTAAACAGACATTTTATACTCCACTTGCTCCTCCTGATTGAGGCTTTCGGTGATGATATAAGAATTTTCATCATTTCATAGATAATGAATTAAGTAAAAATGTACTAAGTGATTACCATTACAGAGCAATGGAAAAAGAAAATGTAACTACAATAACTCCAAGATTGCTTGTACTGCACAATTTAGTGCTCTCATTACTTAACTACATTTATTAGGCTACCAATTTTTTCCTCTTTCTTGGATAGCTGATTAAAGCATTTATTAACTACATAACCTGTGCAGTAAAATAATCTGTATTCTACATATGGTGAGAAAACTGTGGTATCTGAAAGTTATATTAAAATTCACCTCTTGTCATAAGAATAATGTTTTACTAAACTGAAGCCTTGTCTATTTATTTCCACAATCTCTGGTCAGAACACCCTGGAAATATACTATCATAAAACAAATATAAAAATACCACAATACAGTACATAGAAAAAATAAATTCTACTACCTCCTCCTACCGTCGCAGATCTGATTAGAGGAGACTTTAAAGAGGTGTTCTCCTGTTCATTAAACTGTCTTTTAAGTTCTTCTGCAGATTCTGAATGGAGTTGAAGAAATTCTTTTATGGCAAATGACGCTTCCTCTTTAACTGGATTTATCATTCTTTGGAGAATTTGTTTATCTTCCAGTCGGACCCGCAAACACAGTTTCTCCATCTCTCGGATATTGGCTCGCAGTTGCTGCAATAGTTTTAAAAGATTATTTGTAACTTTATGGCATGCTGCTGCTCCTACACACCTCTTTCAAGGGGGTGATGCAAATTAACTACAGTTATTTTAATTTTTAAATAATAAAAAAAATTACATTTCAATATTTTGTATAAGTTGAGAAAAATAAAAATTCCAAAAAGGTCTTGTTCTCAGACAACCAAATGCTTTAATTTTATTCTAGTTAAAATGAAAATATTCTAAACAAAAATCTGTTGCACCAAAGAGATAATGGGCATATTTTGCACAAGTAGTAAGAACTCACCTACAGTGAGAAAAATATTCTTTCCCCACTATTTTGTTCTTTCCTGTTTTATCTGTGCACAGGTCTATTCCCACAGTATTTAATTCCCTATATCTGTGACAACTGGTACTTACAAGTTCTTTCCCTGGAACCAGTACAACCCACACAATCCACCAGATACCCAGCAGCTCAGTGCAGTCGCTAATTCTGTACCCTCTCACCCATTCTAATAAACTGGCTGTACACTGGGGAGTAACCACTGACATTTGGTACCTAAGTAGCCAACTACAGCCCTGATTACAGATGTCATATTTAACGTTTTATCTTCACTATGAATGTTCCCCAATTACAGCCATCAATATAGCTGCACAAATGTAACCCTTAACACAGACAGGCAAAGCATGGTTACTCCTCTGTACATTTAATCACCTGTCCCATTGTGCCCAAAGGGGCTGCAGCGTTCCAGTTCTTGCTGCCATATCAGTAATAGCAGAGAAATGTACTGATTACACTGCTCTACAGCCAAAATGCTTCTGAAATAAATGTAGTCAAACTTTACTAATTCTGGGTCACTGAGAACGAAAATTATGCTTAAAATTGTTGATTGGCTCTAGTTTTGAAGATATGCTATTGGGTCAGTATATATGACCCTTGACTTGGGAATGGTGGAGGATAAGTGAGTTATAAAGGGAAGGGATCTCAATTTAAACCAGAAATGATTAAAATACATCTTTGACTGGATCTATGAATAAATCTATGACTGGGTTTGGACAGTACTTGCTTTTTAGGCAAAATAATGAATGATGCAATCTGAAGCTGGTATTGCGTCATACGTGATATGAATTGCATCATGTTATTCCTAGAAGTCATGGATGATGCAATCATAACGAAGCTTACATCACTCTGCTGAACAAATTGCCCTATATCAGCTCTAGAAATCATACAGTGTCGTGCTCTCTTATTTGTCAGTGTTTGATTTTGCCAAGGGGCACATTTCTGTTTAGCCAAAGTGAGCAGAGATGCCACGTACTTGTGTGAACAGTGCAGATAACTTCTGCTGTTTGTGGTGAAGTGACTTTTGCATCACAAAAGCGCAGTATAACCACTATGGTTAAGAAAGCCTATCACCTTTATTTTGGCTGCAAAATTGGAGATCAGGACAAGAGGTGGGCCCCACACATATGCTGCAATACTTGTGCAACAAATCTTTGCCAGTGGTTGAACAGGAAAAGGAAATCTATGCCTTTTGCAGTGACAATGATTTGGAGAGAGCCAACAGATTATACCAGCAATTGTTACTTCTGCATGGTGCCTCCAGTTGGGAAAGGTGTATCAAAGAAGAAAAAGTGGACTGTGCATTATCCAAATATTCCATCAGCTATATGCCCCGTGCCCCACGGAGAAGGACTGCCGGTTCCTGATGCACCAGAATCATTCTCACTTGAGTCAGACGAGGAAGAGGAAGAGGATGAAACTTCTGGTCCTGAACCATCAATGTCACAGGACCCACATTTTCTCCCATCCTCCTCCTCTGAACCACACCTCATAACACAAGGTGAACTGAATGACCTTGTCAGGGATTTGGAACTACCCAAGAGTAAGGCAGAGCTGTTGGGCTCCAGACTACAGCAGTGGAATCTCCTGGCAGGTGATGTTAGGGTTTCCATGTTCCGTCAAAAGGATCTTGTCCCATTCTTCTTCATGGAAGGTGATCTTGTAGCCTGCAACAACTTTGATGGTGTGATGGCAGCCCTCAACATCGTTCACGATCCAGATGAGTGGAGACTGTTCATTGATTCATCGAAGACGAGTCTTAAAGCTGTTTTACTGCATAATGGCAATGTTTTGCCATCAATTCCAGTTGGTCATGCAGTCCATATGAAGGAAACCTATGACAACATGAAACAACTTTTGAGGTGCATAAACTATGACCAACATCAGTGGCAGCTTTGTGGCGATTTGAAGGTTGTTGCTCTCTTGCTTGGTCTGCAGACTGGATACACAAAGTACTGCTGTTTTCTCTGCGAATGGGATAGTCATGCAAGAGATTCCCACTACATCAAGAAAGATTGGCCACTCTGACAGTCATTGGAGCCTGGGAGGAAAAGTGTTCAGCATCCACCACTTGTTGAATCAAGGAAGATTTTGTTACCACCCTTACACATCAAGCTGGGTCTGATGAAGAACTTTGTCAAGGCCATTGACAAAACACAAGCAGCTTTCAAGTACCTCCATGGAAAATTTCCAAGGTTAAGTGAAGCTAAGATAAAGGAAGGTGTCTTTGTTGGTCCAGATTCGTGAACTTCTTCGAGACGATGCATTTGACCATGCACTGCATGGCAAGGAAAAGACGGCATGGAAAGCCTTCCAGTTAGTGGCAATAAATTTTCTCGGAAACAACAAGGCAGACAACTACAGGTTGTTGGTGGAAAACCTCCTCAAGGCATACAAAAGCCTTGGTTGCAACATATCACTAAAGATACATTTTTTGCACTCTCATCTAGATTTTTTTCCACCGAACTGCGAAGCAGTGAGCGACGAGCATGGCGAGCGATTTCACCAGGACATTGCAACAATGGAGAAACACTATCAGGGCAAATGGAGCCCATCAATGCTTGCAGACTATTGCTGGACAGTGACAAGAGATGCTCCATTTAATGAATACAATAGACAAGCCAAGAAGCACCGAGTAGACACTGAATAGGACTAAACTATGTACATAATCGTTTTTTGCCTTTTGTTTCATAATACATTTTATTTATAATAACCCTTTTGCTGATTTTTAAAGTGTTACATAAACAGGACAGGTGAAATATTATCATGTAAAGCAACCATAAACACATGAAAAGACCTAGGTTTACAATTTATGATTAAAACTCTACTATCTACACAATATACATAGACATAAAATGTAAAAACTTAAATATCTTAGAAACAGTAGCCAATCAGTTGTTTTAATTGTCATATTTGAATTCAGCACATCAATATACATAATAAATAGCACATTTTATCTCTGAAGCAGACAACTTCTCAAAAATTGTAGACCAGTGTTACCAAAGAGAAAAATGATCTCAAAGTTTCCCATGTTCATCAACCAGACTGATCTAAACGTCACAAAAGCTAACCAGACCTACAAGAGCAAACTTCAGTTCAACCACAGCTAAACCACCACTCTCATCACAACGGGAGTTGCCCACAAGACAAACTCTCCATGAAGATGTGGTCAACACTATGAATATGTTTCAGAACCCAACCCTAGTGGATGTAACAAACTGGACTGCTATGATACCTGATATATTTAGCATATTTTGCAAAGCAGTCACGGTACTCTACATTTACATAGGAACTCAGAGGAAGTGGAGAGCTGCTTTAGTTTACATAGACTCATTATGATGATCCTACACAGATAAAAGGGCCAAAAATCAGTGTCGTATAATATTTACATAATTACAACCCTTTCAGCCTCAGACATGACCCCACTGCAGCTTAGACCCAGCTCTGCTTTCCAAACCAACACATCTCTACCCTGCACAAGATTTGGACAGAGAAAGAATCATCTCACGGCTGTACCAGATACTGCTGGATAGTATTTTACATACACTTGGCATAGATGTCAGTGTCTACAGAGGGCACAAGTCTGTGAGAATGTGTCAGACTATTTGGAATGTCAAGAGTTCTATAACACTATGGATCAGAGCCTGATCTACGGATCAGAGCCCCTGATATGGGTCTAACGCAGGGGTGGGCAAACTATGGCCCGCGGGCCGGATCCATTTTAAAACGGCCCGCGAGTCGTATCATGCAGCTCGGCCCCGCTCCCACGCTCCAGCCGGGTAGCTGGGTCGGAGGCCACACCATGCGTCTCCCAGAAGCCACGGCATGGCCCCGCTCCAGCTCCTACGTGCTCCAATAGGAGCTGCAGGGGCGATGCCTGTGGATGGGGCAGTGTGCAGAGCCGCCTTGCCGCGCCTCCGCATAGGAGCCGGAGAAGGGACATGACACTGCTTCTGGGGGAGGTAAGCACCACTCGGAGCTTGCATCCCCTGAGCCTCTCCCAAAGGCCCCAACCCCCTACCCCAGCCCTGATCCCCTTCCTGCTCTCCAAACCCCTCGATCCCAGCCCAGAGCACTCTCCTGCACCCCAAACCTCTCATCCCCAGCCCCATTCCAGAGCCCGCACCCCCAGCCAGAACCTGCACCCCTGCCCCAGCCCTGATCCCCCTCCCGCCCTCGGTCCCAGCCCAGAGCACCCTCCTACACCCCAAATGCCTCATCCCCAGCCCCAGAGCCCACACCCCCAACCAGAGCCCTCACCCCCTCCCGCACCCGAACCCCAATTTTGTGAGCATTCCTGGCCCGCCATACAATTTCTATTTCCCAATGTGGCCCTCGGGCCAAAAAGTTTGCCCATCCCCAGTCTAACGGGTTAAAGATTTACTTGAACTCTACAAGATCTGAATAACCATGTGACTGTGCACAGTTATTTCTTGTTAAGGACATTAATGTATTATAATTAAAGATTGCAGGTTTACCACAAGATCACAGAAATCACAGAACCTATCATTTTATTGATTTTGCCCTTAGAGTGTCATGGACCACTGTTTGATGCTCCCTTGGAGAGGAGGGGGGGAGAATGTTCATCAAAGCATATTTGAATTCTAAGCTGTTGTACTGGGCCGTCTTCCTTTCTTTGTGCGAACTTTCTTCTGTTGTGAGTACTACCCTCCCT